TTATGAATTGCCTAGACTAGGATAATCAATAGTTAAGGAAATATCTGAAGATGATGTAAATTTTGTTAATTTATCTGATAATAGTTACATTACGTAAATGTTAGTTTGTTTAATTAAAATAAAATAAATTTATGAAATCTGTTTTCGATTCGAGTCCGTAATCAAGTATTGCTTAATACGTAGAATGCACTTAATCTCCAGAACCAGTTCGACTTACGTTATACGTTCTTTATCTCTAAGAGATATGTTTACATGGATTACGTGCGAAGAGAGATTTACGAAACGTATAGGAAGAGGACTTCTTTAACAATGTGGCATTTATCGATAGTTATAAAATCGAAAATTTCACGTTGATTAACAGTTAGATGGGAATTTGCAATGCAAACGGTCGATCCGTCCGTGTTGCATAATACCAGGCGCGATTCTTTTCCTTCTTTCGTTTCCATAAACGTAATAAAGGCAGCAGCGGCAGCAGCACGCAAAAGTAAATGATTTATATGCATAAAACATTTCACTTCACAATACGGATACAGCAATTTCTTTTAATTGCGCCAAGAAATACGAGCACAATCGCTCCACAATTACCAACCGGTCACGCAATTATCAAAATTTAAGATTCTTGTAAACTTTTGTAGGTACAATCTCGTGATGTCCATGCGTGAAGGCCGCTTTGCAATAATGCATCTTGAGAACCATCGCTTCCTGTCTGCTATTAATACATTGTTTTGTCTTCTCTTTCCAGTCATGCAAGAGCTGTCTGTCGCTGATAGAGACCTTCCTGTGCACGGCTTCTGTGGCTGCGGGCATCGGCAACCTCTACCGACTCCCGCAGACCGTCATCTCCAACGGCGGACTTCCGTTCCTCGTCGCCTACGCGATTCTCCTCGTCTTCGTCGGATTCCCACTGCTCTTCCTCGAATTGGGAATCGGGCAGATCGTGCAGGATGGCTTCATGAAGACATGGCGCGCCGTTCCATTCTTCAAAGGTAAGAATAACAAACGAAAATGACGACGTTCTTCGGAGGAAAGTTTTCTGCGACTTTCATTCCGATCCGTCCGCGTGGAATTGCGAAATTCTCCTTGCGTAAAAGTCTTATCGAGACGGACCGGAGGAATGCGCAAACTTTCTGCTTAGAAATTTATTTATTTCTTCATGCAACGCAATGTTTTTCCTTGTTTTAGGCGTTGGATACGTGAAGCTGTTGGCCGGCTGCCTGATCCTCGTCTACTATCCCCTGCACATGGCGATGTCTTTGTACTATTTGATTTGGTTCGCGAAAGCCTCGCCGCCTTTCTTGGAATGCGCCACCGTCCGGATGGAAAAGGTAATATGTCCACCTACAAATGAAGACACTTGATTTCCACACGTGCTTGATTTGCGTACGCCTTTTACGAAATGATGCAAAGAAAAAGGATTGTTTCCGATATCGAATTTGTGAAAGTGGAACCGAAGTCACAATGGTCATCATCATCATTATAATCAACATAACCGCAGCTGCTGCGACAAACGAAAACAAAGAAGCGGCCTTTGTTTTAATTCGCTTTTATGATCTAATTAATTGCGAGAGGCGGAGCGAAACTGCAGTGAACGAACAAGAAACAACAAAAAAATAAGATTAAGCTAATATTTATGTATGTATGTATGTAACGCCGAGGAGAATTAATTTTAAAATTATTGAAATCAGGCTTTAATAGAGCGAGCACGTTAACTGTTCTTCACTGTTCTTTTTAATTATTATTATATATGTATAAATTCGCTTAATATTAAGCTCGAAAACCATGAAGAGTATGTGGTGGAGGATTACTAACCGAGGACGCAAGTGCAGGTGAAATTCGTTTCGCCCGACAATTGCGTAATTAAGTGAAGAAACTCGATGCACCGAAATTCTTCATCGCTCCACTTGAAACTCTCGTTGCTTCATCAATGCGATGATATTCTTTTCATCATCTTTTCAGTTCTTGTTCTCATTGAGAATCAGTTTGAATTGAATTGATTGTTCGCTCCAGAAACTCGAGAGCCGTTGTTTAATCGTTCTCGTTGAAATTCAATTGGGATAGAACAGCATTATTACGCACGTATGAATATGTTATTCAGGATCTTTATCTTTGTTGTTGTTTTTTTTTTTAGAAAGGAATTTAAATGTAATGAACGCATCTCTGCGGTGAATCGGAGAGGATCATCATCATCATCATCAGAATTCCTCGTTTGCAAAAGATAAAAACAATTACGGACGATGACGATGAAGTGCTC